CGTCAAACCGCAAAATGTTCATGAGGACACATCACATGTAAAACAAAAAAAACCAACAGGACTACAATGAGATACCCGGAAAACTAGAGAGAGGAAAAAAACCAAACTAATTGTAATACCTTTCATTTGAAAAATATTAATTATAAAGCACGGAAAATTTTAACTGCCAGCTGTGGACATGTGGAATTTCTGATCCGTTTTTTTACTTTTTATTCGGTTAGAGTACTAATTTCTTTTAGGTTTTCACGAATGCAATGTTGACAAGTGGGCGTGCCTCGATATGGGAAAAATAAGAGTAGAAAATGGAAACGGGGCTAATTGTGAGAATTTGGACAAGTTGTGCGCGGGGAAATCTGATAAAAACATATCCAAAAACACATGTTGCCAACAACCTTTTTATATTTTTTCCTGTATTTCTTTTTTTGTGCACTTTTTGCTTTGTTTTTGTGAAACCGAAGACTTATATTAGCAAGGAATGGCATTGGGAATCATCATCTAATGTGCGGATGATGGATGATAAGCCGACAAAATAGCTCGACACTCTCGCACTTCCTGTGCTCCCTTTCAGGCTGGCATTCCCATCTCCCAGCGCTCGTCTCCCGTTTCATCAATGGAAACTATATTATTGCAGCGTGGGAGCTCCAGGATTCCGGCCAGGATCAGGACAGGTACTGCTGCCGGTCCTGCACCCAGACGAATGTACATTCTCCATGCCACATACCATGTGAATGTGTAGATTCGCCCTGACACACGATACTACTTCAAATGGCAAGGAGCAGAGAAGCAAGAAATGAAAAAATGAAAAAAATGAAAAGGAAGCAAAGGACAGCAGACACTCAGTCGGGTGCAGAAAAAGGATAATAACGAGGCTAATAGACGGTATCGAATTTAACTCTAGCAGATAATCATCTCGGCAAGGTAATTGTCTAAGGATACTTGACGCTGGGCCGGCAAGTGTCCTCCGCCGAGGTTAAGGAACTCCCAGCTCCTGCTCAACTCTTTGTATATACTTTGGAACCTGGGTGCCGGGTGCCGGGTGCCGGGTCCTTTGTCCTTTGTCCTCTGGCCTTGCGTGTCCTTCGGCTCCCTGTCCTCCTATCCATCCTGCCAGTTGGCTGCAATGAACCGGAGCAGATCCAATCTGACGTAATTAAATGCAACTATCTGCCATCGATGGAGGCGCAGCTAGCAGGATCCTTTCCAAATATCCTTTCCGCATTTGCGTGCCACAATTAAATGGCATTCGGAGTTTCGAAAGTACACGCTCAATTATATGCACACAGAAGTATTAAGTAAAGAGCAAATAAACCTTCAAAAGTATGAAAAATATAGAATGCTTTCATTATGTAAATTATATTATTATCTAAAAGGCTTTCACAGCCGAAATTGTACTGATATATTTTAGGCATTTGCTGTCTGGCCAGTCCTCCTAAGCCTGGCCTCACTGTACTTGCACCTTCTCAGCCGAAAGCCGAAAACCCGCCAAGTGCGACTGACAGGACTGGGAACTCAACCCTTTCGGAACTTCCGCTCAAACGCACGCAGTCCAAAATGATAGGTTCGTCAATTGGAGACGCAGTCCAAATTAAATATTACCATTCGCAGAGTTGTTAACGAACTTATTAGGCGCACGGGCAGTGCCAAGTAACTAATATACGTATGCATCACATAGGGAATACTGCGGCCTATTCGTGTATCTCTGGCCAACAGCAGTAGCAGAACTTTCCGTCGAGCAGATAGGTACACCTCTCGAGTACATTAAATAATTGCCTTATGAGTGGATGGTGTGGTGAGGGGTGAAGGGGTTCAAGAAGGGGCGGAGTGGGCTGTGGGGGGAGGGGGTGTGGCTCCGGCATGGGCTATGGCTATGTCATGTGGCTGGGCCAAGCGACTAATTGAGCAATTAGTGGCTAAAAAGGCAACAATTGAGGCCATTTGCTGGGAAACCTGCGGGGAATTCGTAATGACTGCAAATGAATGGTGGAAGCCTTTCCAGCACACCTTAAAGATCGAGAAGTTTTGTCCGGGTGGCAATATAATTTCTAATATACTTATATAAATATTTTAAATACTTTGAAATCGCCGTTTCAAAAGCTGCAAGTTAGTGGGTTTCCCTTACTCAACGTGCCATATTGATATATTTTCTAAAATGTAACATGCCTAACCTTTGTCCTGCCTGTAGAACAAGATATCTATATCAATTGTGCAACTTAATTCACTGCTTTTCCAGGCATTTGTTGATACAGGGAGGGTCACTCACCGTGCAAAGTAGAAGCCGCAGGATAACAAATGCAATTTGCCTAAATGTATTTGCAGCCACAACAACACAACATTTGTAATCAGAGGTCACAAAAAGTCTATATGTATATATGGGTATGGGTATAAGGGCGAAGGAAAATCGCGTCGACAGTTAATGAGATTAAAACACCCAGCGGGTATCCTTATGCTCTTGGTCGGCTATCCTGGCCCAGCGGGATATAACCGAATTGCGCAGTGCCAGGCCAAAATTGAGAAGTCAAATCGAGAAGTGTGGGCCAGAAGGAAGGCAGCGCGGGAAAAGGGAGGAGTCTCAGAGGGAAATAGGGAATGCCTGGAATCCGAGACGAGAGCGCTGCATAAATCACTGCCATAAATTAGTTGGCTTTTAATTACGATTATTATGCTGATAATAGGGCGCATTTAACGCGCGATAAACATAAATAATCGTGTCAAATGCAAACAGATGTCGAAACAAGATGACAACGGAGATGCTCCAAACAACTTCAGCAACTCCAAATCACGGAGTCTCCATTCAGGCGACGACTAAAGGTTCGGAAAGATTCGAGCAGATCGAGACGAATACTACCGACTTCTCTAATGCCGTGTAATATGCTTTTCAATGTTTCCTAGTTCGTAAGTAGCCTTTAAGCTTTACATTTACATAACAACAATCAATCCTTGGTATATGGGTTAATACACAATGGGTTAAAGTTATTTCCTATAAGGATGAATGAAACCCAACGCGTTCATAAATACCAAGTTTTGGAGCTGGTCATACCCCATTTTGCCGAGTATGGCCTACAGGGTATGCAAATATTTTCTGTGTGCGGTTCATTTTTTTGCTTAATGAAAACAATGTGTGAACAAGATTTGTGAACGGAGGCAGTCGGGGGCGTGGCAACCATTAAAAGATTCCTGGGATGCCTTAAACATCTCGACGTTGACACTGTCTTGGAGTTTTGGGGATTGGATACACGGATACTTGGGATCTGGATCCGGTTAGGGGAGTGGGAATGGGAATGGGAACGGGAATGGGCGTGCAACTGACGAGGATCTCGTTTCTGGCGCCTAACTCCGCTCAAATGTGTGAAAATCATATTTTAATTAAAGTTGCCTGCTAATGATTTTGTCAGCGCCGCAGCAGTGTCGCTCGTTTATCATCGTCGCCAATCCTTTTGGCCCCACTCAACTGCAGGTCCACCTTGGTCTTTTCTGATTTATTCAGTTTTCACTCGGCTCCTTTACCACTATACAAATATGTATTCATATATATAGAGAGATGGAGAGCCCATGTCCTTTGCAAGGCGATGCCAAACGCATGTCCTGTCCTTTGTTTTATGTCGCTAGCTGCTGTCTCTTTTTTCACATGCCCCCTCCTTTGTGTTTGTATTTTTCATTATTTTAATTTACAACTTGCTCTGGCACTCTTTTGAAATCCGAATCCTGCGGAGTGGCAGTGGGAGGACGAAGCGCCCAGCGGGATGCAGCTACCATGTGACACACAATACCAAGAAAACAGGAGTCAAGGATATCGAAAAGAGAGAGTTGCCTCATTTCAATTCACCGCACTTGAGATTCCTTCGAGGAACACTTACCAAACGCTGCCTATGATTTATGCCCCAAATACCAAACCTTTTCCAACAAATTTGGGGCATCATTAGATACCATGTTCACAGTGAAATAAAAGTAAGTTGTATAGTACAAATAAATATTAAATATTCTGTTAAGACGTCTTCAAAGTTTATTTTCTGCGACAATAAGCTTGATTTCAAATACACACGCGGCATTTAATTCAGTTGGGTAGTCAGTAAAAATGTACAAATATTTATTTGACCTTTTTCAATTCATATTTCAGCCACATCTGTAAGTGCCAGCCAGTTTTCCATGGCTTTAAGTGAGCAGCCAGGCTTTTCCATTAATGCTCGGTAATGTGGAGAGCACTCATCGCCCAGTTGGCCCATCTCGGCCAGAACGTTATTCATTTGAATCGTGAATTCATTGCCCTGGCAAATTGTTTTTGGCCCCCGGGCGACCACACCCCCACCGAAGGATGTCAAAACACCAGCGGGAAAAATAACTGCGCAGCTTAATCCACTTCTGAATGAATAGGGGGTTGATCGGAACGTTAGAAACAATCTGCACCCACTTGACGGGCGAGAATCTGTTCCAGCGGACTGCGAGGGTGCCTTTTAGCCACGGTAATAAAATTTAAATCACCCACACACCACACACCACACACATCAGGATATCAGGACAACCAGGAGCAGCCCGGGTCGACCTTTTAGCCCCCGCACATCCTTCCACTCAGATTGAGAGCGTTAAAAGTCGTTAACGACCAGATGAAACGGCATGAGGAGATTTGGGATGACAGGAAGTCCAGCAGTTCGGCAGCATCCCCAAAAAGAAATCAAATCCGAGGGTAAGCCACCCTCAATCAGATAAACATATTTTACGCTTATTCGCAGATACAACGATTGATTTACCAAATTGATTCTGCCCATCCATGTCCACGTATTCAGATACTTTCCCAGGCCCATCCACTTTGGTCTTCTGACAAATGAATCGGCATCGCAGCGTTTTGTTGTACATTTATTTTGAATGAAATTTAAATAGTTTATTCGTATTTTAAATAATTAATTTACATAGACAAAAAAAAGTAATCGAAGATGATAAATTGCTGATGCGGCCCACGTTTCGCAGGACTGGCCAAATCCTTTTTTGCATCCGTGCTTCGTTTTTTGTGTGTGGTGCTAAGTATCTAAGTATCTGCTCTAAGCCTAGTTCAAATAAAACAACAAAACACATTTAGTTAAGGTTTAGCTTGGGTTCTCTTCCGGTTTTCCCTCATATCCATCATTTCGGTCATTTTTTCAGTTTTAGTTGGGATCGATTAAAGCACTAGCGTCTAAGATATCCTCGTTCGATGGGGTTAGCAAAAATAAATGGGGGACATATGCTAATTTACAAGGGCTAGAGTTTAAATCCCCCCCTGCTTTTCCTCCTCCATTTTTTTTGTTTTCTCTTTACAATTTTGGTTCGCTCACACTTTATAATTGGACTAGAAATATATTTATGATGTTCCCCCCGTTCAATATCCATGTATATTTTATATCATTTTTTTTTTTGTTTGTTTTAGGTGTCTTCGTTTAGAATTGCATAATGGTTCTTATCGCTTTTTTAAGGTTTTTGTTTTTGTGGTGCTCGAAGCTTGTCTCTTGGTTAATGTCGTATATAATGCTTAGTACCTATGAAAAAAATTACATATCCATAGGGCTAGTAAAAAAAATAAAAAAAAATCGCTCTCCTACTGCTCTCACTGTGATAACTAGATAGTCTAGAAAATGGCTTAGTCTACAAATAGGCTATAAGCAATATATTTATATTTATATTTATATTTATATTTATATTTTGTAATATTTTACTTTCAGTTTAGTTTAGTGCTGGGATTAGCGCGATAGACACATAGAGCGGGCGTTTCTTTCAAATATATTTACAGACATCTGCTGGCTATATGTACAACCGCAAGATAGCTTCAAATCAAAATGATATCGGTTTTGTATATATACATACATATATGTATATATGTATATATACGCAGTACGTAGTACGTAGTGTTTGAGGTGTGGAACCCTTGCGCTGCTTTAGTTGGTGAACAGGAAGGGTCCCAGCGATCCTCAAACCATGGGAGGCTTGATATCCACGAGGGAGCTGGGATCCAGACCGGGTGAGCCGCCGGTGGCCAGGTGGTGCGAGTGGTGGGCATGGTGGTGCAGGTGATGGGCGTGGGGATGCTGCTGCTGTCCGAATTGCTGATGATGATGCTGCTGTTGCTGGTGGTGCTGCTGCTGCTGCTGCTGCTGCTGATGCTGCTGCTGTTGATGCTGCTGCTGCTGCTGCTGCTGTTGATGCTGCTGCTGCTGTTGCTGCTGATGCTGCTGCTGCTGCTGGTGAAGCATCACCGGCGAACCGCCCGCGGCGACCATCTGGTGCGGCGTGGCCAGGTGCAGACCGCCGCCCAGCAGGCTGCTGGACGTGCCATTGGCGCTGTGCGCGTGCAGCGAGGTCGGGGTGCCGGGATGGCTGCCAGAACCGGATACGGAACCGCTAACGGAACCGCTTGAGCCACCGGAATTGGAATTGGAATTGGAGCTACCCGTACCGGTTCCAGCTCCCGCTCCGGTGGTCACCGATCCCGATACCGCTAACGTACCAGCACCATTGCCCGTACTAGCGCCACCCCCGCCGCCACCGGCCCCGCCCGTCTGTGGGCCACTGCCCACGCCGCCCAGCCCGTTGGACTCGCCCGACTGGTTGGCGGCCTCCTCCGAGTCGCTACACGACTCCGAGGAGCCCTTCTTCAGCCCACCATTATGGCCATTCGCCTGGTGATTGGCCGTGCCATTGTGCGTCTTCACGTGCTTGGCCAAATGGTCGCTGCGCATAAAGCGCTTGTTGCACACGGGGCATGCAAAGCGCTTCTCGCCGGTGTGCGTCCTCAAATGCCGTTGCAGCTCGTCGGAGCGTGTGAAACGCTTGCCGCAGAACAGCCAGTTGCACACAAAGGGACGCTCGCCGGTGTGCCACCGCAGGTGAGCCTTCAGATGCGACGTCTTTCCATACACCTTGCCACAGCCCGGTATGTGGCACGAGTGTATGTTCTTCTTGCGCAGATGGACGCCAGCGGGCCCCAGGCGCTCCGCCTCCTGGCAGTTGGGGCAATCGCAGGTGGCCCGTCCGGCATAGCGCCTCTGGGATCTGGGCGATGGTGTCGACGGTGAGCCGCCCTGTGGGGAGCCGCCTGCCGCCGCTGCCGCTGTGGCCGCTGCTGCTGCCGCCGCTGAGGGGGAGCTGTGCGGCAGGGAGAAGCCGCCCATGCCCACGCCCACGCCCACACCCACGCCCACGCCCTGGCCGGGCAACATGCTCTTGTAGGTGTCCTGCAGCAAATGCTGTCCCGATCCCAACAGCGAATGGCTCAGTGCGGAGCTGTAGTTCTCACTCGCATAGTTGGCCATTGTGGAGTGCATGCCCGCACCACCCATGTCCAGCCAGGAGCCGGCGGCACTGTGCATATCCCACCAGCCGGAATTCACGCTGGCCGCCTCCTTGTGGGTCACCGCATTGAAGGGCCAGTCGTACGGGTGACGGGAGTAGACGCCGCCAAAGGCAGCCGCACCGGCCTCCACTTTACCCAGCAGACCCTGGTGCATATGATGGTTGTCCATGTTCGAGGTGGATGTGTTCGGAAAGTACAGATCACCGCCGTAGGCCGCTGCCACCGCAGATGCCGTCGAGGATGACTGTGATCCGGAGGCGGAGGAGGAGGAGCCGGTGGAGCCCCCGCCCACCGCCGCGCAGGAGGAGGCCAGGGGGCGACTGTAAGGATAGATGCTGAAATTACTCGCGAGTCGTATAGGGCCAGCTGCTGCGGCTATATGCGCACAGCGCTCCAGAGGATTCCCCTTCCCGGAAGTAAGGTGGTCAGTTGGTGGCTATCGTATCTATCTATCTATCTTTTATGAACTTGAAAATAGATACATTTGATTTATACATTGATTCTATACCCAAACTAAAGACACTCCTAACCACCCACCGTCCACTGGGGAATCCTGGCTGGATCGCTGTGCGCCGCCTGTCTGCTTACCTAGCTGTGATGTTCACCATGGTGCTGGCGCTGGAGGAGAGGCTCCTGGAGGACTGTCCTCCGCTCGATCCGCTGGAGCTGGACGAGCTGGCCGCTGAGATGGCGCAGGGCGAGTGCTGGCCGGCGCTGCCGCCACCGCCACCGCCGCCGCCGCCGCCACCTCCGCCGGATGAGCCACTGGATCCGGCTGCCGGCGAATTGGGACTCTTCTTCCACGGATGGAAGCCCTTGCCCACGGCGGCGTCGGCCAGCGGGGGCGGGGATTTGTTGGAGAGCTTGTTGCACTGGGCGGCCAGCATGGCCAGCGGGGTGCCCCTCAAACTGGGATGATCCTGAAAGGATAGCAAAGTATTATGAGCAATGCATTATCACCTGTTTTCATATCAATAACGTAAGAATTGAGGACATCAAAATTTGAATCATAATACATAGTAAATTAATAGGCATTTCCCCCACTTTATTTGACTTGGAACAGAGCCCACAGTTTTTGGGAATATTTCCCATGGGAATGCATGCATTTCTTAATTAACTGCCGTTCGCGCGAATTTGCAAATTACTTAAATGCGAATTAGTCGAGCTCAATTTCGCTTCCTGCCCGATTTTGCTGTTGCCAACGGTTTCTAATGCCCGTCTGCTGAAAGAGGGCCAAAAGGGCAGGCCGAGAGGGCCAAGAAGCGAACAGTAAGCCACGAAATTAATTCGCCACGTAAATCAAAACTGAAATTCCCTTTTAGCGCTGCGAATGAGCCGCGATTTTATGGTCTCTGGCGTTCTGGAGATACTCTTTTCAAACGAAGGAGTTGCGACGACTGCAGATGGACCTTGAATATACCTAACAAAATAATTGGCAATTGCAATAATCAACCACATATGGTTAAGCATATCAAACCACATTGTAAAATGTTTTATTAATTTGCTTCAAAGAACCTAAGTTACTTGATTTTTAAAGCGCCTAACTTATGGACTTTCAGGAGATACAACGCTATTATAACGGATTTAATAACATTTTAAGTAAGTGGATTTTTCTAGAGTATCACCCATTCGGATAAGGCAATGCATCCGCTTTCCCACAGGCATTTATAATCGCAGAGCTGCGTTTTTGGGAGGAAGTCATTAAAAGTCGGCTCGATTCGGGGGTAGTCCTTGGCCAAAACTAATTTTCAATTCCGCTTTTTGTCTAGCGGCGAATGCGGCACTTGTTTTCACCTCCGCTCACTCGAAAATTGCTGCCTGATTGACGAAGGTCGAAGATTTCACTAGAGAAGGATTCACCAATCTGTGGTCCCTGCGGATTGGATCCTCGTCAAACACATTTCATGCCTGCCAGCTGCTTGAGTTGTTGCTGCCGCACAACAACTTGGCCAACAGCAACAGCAACAGCAACAATACAACACAAGCAACAGCCAGAATTGTCAACAACAAGTTAAGCAACTCTGGCAATACGGTAAAAGTTGTTCAATCAAGCGGCTCAATACTCTATATTTGCACATACTCGTACATATATACACTGATCCGAAATTAATCGGCCATCCATCGATTAGCGTGGAAATGAGTCTATTTGAATTTCCACCTTGCACTAAGTGCAACTTGTTCTTTGGCCAACACTCGCTTATTGTTGGCTTTAATATTCGCAAAACGAATAAACTCATGAGAGCAATCAGTTTTAAGAGGCAACAATTTATTCCAGTAATATATTATAATAATGCTACATGCTTAAATATGCATTGTTTATTATTGTGGAAAACGCAACAAGAAGTGTGTAAGCTGTAATTAAAGTTAAATTGTTTTTGGAAGGCACAAGTTTTTTTTTTTCGCTTTTTCCAATCAATTATTTGTCTGAGTGCATTGTGGCCATTGCCCAGTAGTCGTGGCCTCGTCGAGTTGTCCAAAAAAATTAAGTTAATAGTTTACTGACTCGAGTCGGCCGATTTACAGTTGCCTAGTTTCGAGCTTTTACCGTTTTCGTTGGCGCTTTTCGTGCGCAGGGGGTGGGTGGTGCAGTGGTGCAGTGGTGCAGTTGCTTTTATGGCGGTTCAGCGGATTGCTTTGGCAACCGGCAATCAGCCGGAGATCGGGATCAGAGAGCCTCCGCGGAAGCTGCTATTTTGGCCAGTAATTGGCCACTCCAGAAATTGAGAGGAACGGCAACTGGGGTATCTGGGGAATCCCCCGTACTACCGCCCACCCAACCACACACACACACACACACACACACGTATACATTGCATTTCCCGACTTTCTGTGGCTCTGTTTTGTGGCACGTTTATGTCGCTGCCGCTTTTTCAATTGCAAGTCTGCTCATCTCCCGCATCGGACAGGTGCTTTGGCAGCCTAATGACATCACCCATTCAAATCGTGCGGTTCCTGGATCCTCTGTATATCTGGCTATCTGGATGTCCAGCCACCGAACTACTTTGGCCCCTTAGTCGAACAAAAAAGAAAAAACCCAAACGAAGCCAAGCCGAAAAAGCACACACTTAATTGGAGCAATTTCAACGTCGTGCAACTGCGCGTATGAGTAATGGCTGTTGTGCCAGTGTGTGTTAGTCTGTGTGTGTGTTGGATAAATTATACAAAATGATATCGGGGCAGGCAAGTCAGTTAGTTAGTTAGTCAGTTGGTCAGCCAGTCAGTCAGGAGAGTCTGGGGCAAATTAAAATGCAGCTCGATTTGATTAATCGATCAGACTTTTGATTGAAGTGCCTGAACTAAGCACCAAAATAATCAACCGTAGGGGAATATCAAATATTATCACTATAATTCCTTACGACCTTAATAATCTTATGATTAAATGTTGCAGCAAATTCATAGTACTATCTTAAATACTTGCAGCATATAAGCCCATAAGCCTTCGTTAATTGCAAACTTCCTTTGACTGCTTTCTTCACGATTCATTGCTCTTTTCATTTTCTTCTTGGCCACCTGAGGAGCTCTTGCAGTTGGCCTAATTAAAGCAGTCGAATGTCATTTGCCGAAGGTGAAATACGGATTCGGGAATCTCGGCGCAAGAAAGGGGATATCTTCAAAAGGCGCGAGCTAAACAAATTTGGTCAACGCAGCAGGTGATGTCCACGGCAGGGGAGTAGGGGAAGGGGAAGAGGAAGGGGAGGGGGTGCCTTTCATACCCAGTTTTCGGATTGGGATGCGGATTCGGATTCGGATACAGATACAGATGCCCCCGGTCGAACTCACAGCGGGCGCTATCAGCAAATGGCGCTGCAGGTTCCTCACCTTTTATCTACCTCAGCTCCCGACCCGATCTCCCATCTCTCTTCCACCCGCTATGGGCCTCTCCCTCTCGCCGATAGCGCCCGTCTCTTTCGGCGGCAACAAGTTGGGCACATCAATCGGAGGCGGTGTCATAATTTTCACAGCAGGTGTCGTCGCTAATGATTTACAATGAGCCAGGGAAAAATGGGAAGAATCGGATAATCGGAGAATCAGAGAAGTGGAGCGACAGAGACAGCGACAGAGACAGCGACAAAGACAGCGACAGAGACAGCGACAGCGAGAGAGAGGGATTGCACTGTGTTGCATCGCCGTGTCGGCAAACAACAATAAAAATGTGAAAATCTAAATTCGTTGTGGTCGACGTCGCTCTCCGTTTGAAGTCCACTCCAAAGACCAATTCATTATTCATCGGTTTGCATTGTATGCTGTTTATATATACAGACATACACGTATACTCGTAGATGTATATGTGTGCATATAGGCCCGATTCCTTATGGGTGGGGCGTTGCAGTGGCTAATTTGCCGCTGGGATCGATGGGTTTTCGACCCGAAGAAGGTACGCCGACTGGCGCCAAGTGGCGCCCCCTAGGGTGCCAGGGTGCCAAACAAATGGTTAACTATTGTGATCCGATTCGATTTGGAATCGGTGGATCAGGGCGGCTCTGGATATATGCATTCCCAATTGGTGATCTAGTTTCAGGTGGAAGTATTGGTCATTATTCTAAAGCTTTGATCTTTTAAGTTCAGCTTAACATATTACTGTGATAGAGCAGAGATGTAATAATTTTTGAACTGCTGTTTAATACATAGGTCAGGCCAATTAACTACTACAACATGGCACCATATATGTAGATCCTTCAAATGGTAAATGACATTTGAATGATCTGTGGGCCTGCAAAAAGTGGCAGTTAAAACTTAAGGGTCCATCAAAAAAATTCCTATTAAATTGTGAATATTATTCCACACTTTTTGTATAACGAACACGTTGGCGGCAAATGGACTTTCAGTCTTTTCCAATTATCGCTGCCATTTACATTGCTGATGAGTTTTCTCCGCCATAAAAGAGGAGACTCCTAAAAAATCAAACTATCGAAGCCGACAATTATCGCCATCCATCACCGGGAATCAATCTCAGCTAATCCGTCGGAATGGCTAATCCCCAAACTTTGTGGCACAGTGTGTGAAAGATAACACACACTCCTCATCAGCCAAAAAAGCACAAAAAAAAACCGAGCTTCAGCAAAAATGATAAAATAAGAAAAACTGCAAAACTCCGGCGCCAAAATGCAAATAAAACAGAAACGCGAGGGGCAAAAAACATAAAACGGCGCAACGCGAATATAAAAGATACTTTTAAATTGCAGAAGGCCTCCGTCGAAGTGAAGAGGAAGAAGCTACCGAATACGCTGGAGAAGCGGCTGAAGAATCGGCTGAAGAATTGCAAGGAGCAACGAGGCAGATACAATTTTCATAGGCAATTAAAAAAAGTTCATTGGTTTTGATTTTATTTTCGGCTGCAGAGAACTCCGCCATTCAGAAGCCACAACGCGCAGAGCTCGAGGCATTCGACTTCTCTAAAAACCAAAAAAAAAAAAAAAAAAGAAAAATCCAAAACGGATGGCAGGCCATACAGAGCTGACCAAACCAGACCAGATATGTGTATATACATACTATATACACCACAGAACCAGCCGGACCCTCATCCTTCCATTAGCATGTAAAGTGTAAACTAATGGCTTTGATTCTGATTCTGAAGGAGAGCGCAAGAGTCTCGCAAATTAAAAGCAGCGTGGGAACCAAGTCGCTTCTGTCCCAGAAGTTTATTAAAAAAACGCCTGGCCCCCAAGTAGCATCGGTCAACTTTGTCTTCATCGGCTGGGAGTTCCTTGGAACTGGTCTTATGATGGTCGGGATGGTCGGTATGGTCGGGTTGGTCCTCTCACTTGAGGATCTGGACTACGCCCGGACCTGGACCTGAACCTGGACTTGGACCTGGACCTGGACGTGGACCTCAAAACCAGAGACCCATAAGTAAGCCATACACGAAAACTCATTAACAATGACGCTCCAAAAACGGCGGTGCAGAAGTAGCCGGGTAAAA